CCAAAATTTTTTATTTGGTGAATACACTTAGGTAAAATATTATGAGTTTTTTTTGTTATGGACCTTCACAATCGTGATAACTTGTGAGTCTATCAAATAAGTTGATCATAACATCGAAATGAGTTTTCAAGATATATGAATTTCTCAAAGATAGGACAGTTATAGCCAGATTAAATAAAAATCTTTGCATGGATAGGCATTGCTCCTGAAAAATGCGACACTATACTACTGCTCTGAAAAAGTGACCATAAGCTACTGCTTCAAAAAATGAGCAAAAGACTTCAAAATGTGTTGCAACTTTAATACTTTTAATACTTTACCTTGAAATGGCGACCATACGCATATAGGTATTTTGAGCCAAGTATGAATGGAGATGAGTGTAGGATGAGAGGCACGATCTTGTAGTCTTGTAAGTGACTAAGGCCGACATGTTCCTTGGGCACAGCTTTTAATTAATAGCTCATACAGCCAGTGACAACTAACAGTTTGTAGTGGAATCTGAACATCATTTTTGCCTTGTAATTAACGAATTGGTCTAATTATCAGAATAGTACTGCAGATAGCATAGTACTCACTAGTGCGGACGTTAATCTACACCAGGAAGTATCGCATCCACAGCGCATGCCTATAAATATCCACAATTCGTGACCTCCTAGAAGCTGGATTACAGGACGACGCCAGTCTAAATCCCCACGAAAGAATTTGTAAGGCCACTTTTTTACCACCAAAATGCTTCAAAGATGTGATTTGAGGAAGTGTTTTACGGAGTTATTATAGTCGGAGTAATACCTTCATCTTGCCACTTGGATATGATAGCACGATGTCTCTGTCAAGTTTGCTGTATTTACGTTGCAATTATTTGCAAAACTGAGCCAACGATGGATTTATTCATTACAGATAAAGACTATATGCATTGTTTCATTTGACCCATGATAAAACGGAAAAAGTTGATATATACATAACTAACATTCTGGTTTGTTTTCAGGTAGATCGCCGGCAAAATGATCGACCAGTGTGTTAAGCGTCTGCTCCATTTCTACGGAGTCTGAACTAATGTTTTGTTGTAAGTATCAAAATTATTTTAAGATAACATTGTTTTTCAAAAGAGCAAATTTGGATTGGATCATATATTTTGAGCATTACAAAATTAAGAAATTAAATATGTATTTATGTTAAAATTAAAAACCCATTTGCAACATTAAAACACTTTATGGAAATATAGCAAGTAAAGTTTATGGTTTTATTTTCTAGGCCGACCCTCTTATACTAGATAGCTTAGCATGTTTTCGCAGTTTCGAGGCAGTTATTATGACAGTATTTAAAAATTTAATTAATTATATTCATTATCTACCGTCAACATGTTTTAGCCATCTAGTATTAGTAAAACAGAAAAAATCTCGTTCAAACTAAATAAGTAAATTAATTACTTATTTCCAACCAAACGCGTACTGTTTTGTGTCAATAACTATTTCACATGTACTGTGGGTGAAATTGATGTATTAACAATTACAAGCGTTAAGCATAAAAGAAGAAGAAGGGTGCAAAAATGGGCAACATGCCCTGAAACCATAGTCATCTATTAAATACCATAGGATTGACTTTGGTATTAACTTGCTTATTCTATATCTATTTACAATCCAAAAGGGAAATAAGATGAATGTTCATTTCATAACAGTTATGCTTCAACTGATGTTTAAAAAAATACAGCAGGTTTGTCCATATATAAAGCCCAAATTACCCATGAACTTGTGAGAAAACTAGAATTCACATCTCCATAAACCATATACTTAAAATGTTCGTCATGACGAGAAACCTTGCGCAGAACCATCCATTATTTCATAAATTGCCCTTCAAGGTCATAATTTCTTTCTAAGGGGAACTTTCCATATACATAATGTCGAAAAAAAACTCAGCTGTACTTATTTGTTTGTTATTCTTTCAATGTATTACCGAATTGAAATCAGGTATGATTATTTGTTTGTATTACTGTATTCTGTTTGGTTTATTTCAACTTAACTTAACCAATCATTAGTTTTATTAATACTTTAATGAAGTCAAACGGGTGAAACCCGTGGGTAACAGCTAGTCTTTCTAAAGAGAGCAATTGTTTCAAAGCTAGTGCAATCCAATTGTTCCAACATAGTATGTACATTTCCTACGTAAACAAAACATTTCACAATATCCTATGCAATCACGATATCTTTAATAATTATGATGCATGTTTTCAACGACCTAAAAAAACGTCACTTCAATAGGTAATTGGAGGTACAAAGAAGGAAAGTGCAATCAAGACGTTTACAACGCTGATTAAACCCAGCGCTGCCCACTTAATGTCTCAAGCTGAGAATGGGGTCGATCGCTTAGCCGAGAGCGTTTTGTTTCTTCAAGACTGCGTGTCGAGAGGTAGTTAAGGGTGACTCTACTCTACCCCCTCCACATCCCCCCCCCCCAGCAGAGCTGCCTCCTCGTCACTTGAAAAATAATTGAATTTTGTTACGGAAATATTAAACTTCCAGAAGGAAGTTTCCCTTTGAAGCTACAAATTTAATAACGTCCGATCCTTTTTTACAGGTAAACGGGTTTGATGTTTTTGTTTGACAATAGGAGGGTCCGTTTTGTGAAAACATGCATAAAGGGATGTGCTATCATTTTCGAGATGAAAATTAAGTTTAAAAGTTTCTAAAGGGATCTTTTAAATGTCAGAAATCTTCTACTAGGTGTCTAAATAATTATATCTAACTTGATACGTTTTTTAACAACAAAACCAGATCATATGATTGTATCCAGGTATTAGTTATTTTATTGCCAATCAGCTTTTGTACATTATCCCAGTTATCAATGAGGTTTAGTGTTGTTGATAGTGAAAGGTAAATAAGACGTAATATGGTTTTCATCACTCCTCACCGAAAGTAACTATTTTCGATAACAGCTGACATCAATGAAAGTAGCCGTTTCCCAAGCTCTAATTTAGGGCGAGGGAAAATCGCTCAGCTGATTTTCCCTCGCTCTAAATTTACTTTCCCTCGCTCTCAATTAGTTTTCCATTTATTCACTACGCGCGCTAGTGTTTTGTTACGGTTTAATTTAATGATTCAAATCAGCTGTATGTATGTTCAAAGTCGTTTTAATCTTTTATTTTGATGTTTGAAGTATTGAGAAATATACGAAGGTTTCCTTTAGAATATTTTATTTTATTTTATGTTTTAAAAATCAAACAAAAATTAACATAGGTTTACTTTTAGATTTTATTTTATTTTTATGTTTAAACAAATTGTTTGATTGATAATTATTGTAATGCTACTGATGAGGTCTGCTATTCTGTGTTTGTGTATTTTTGCGTCGTGATGAAAAGTATCATTCATAACTCTTACCGAAAGTTATTATCCGGCACTTGCTCCATTATTCCCGTCCTCGGCTTCGCCTCGTACGTGAAAATAGCTCTCACGTACTCGGCTTCGCCTCGCACGTGAAATTGGTGTTCCCTGTGTTCGGCTTCACCTCACACAAAAACTTGAGCGAGCGCCGGAAAATGCCACTTTCGGTCCTAGTAATGAAATATACTATTCTTCTGCATGCTCAAATAGAGCTTGCAAAAACGTAAAGTTGAGACTTTTGTCACAAACAACTTCCCATAAGTGATGAGTCACTGATCAGCTGTGAATGCGGTGCTGCAGCTTAGACAATGAGTCGTATAGTTAACGACTGCCTTTTACGACCATGCCCAGGAGAGCTATCTATTCTCAACAACCCATAGCAGCACTAACATGGGCTAGATAGCTGCATTTGGCATTGTATCAAATGTGTGGTATTCCTCTGAATCGCTGGAGCTACAGTATCAAGTAATTAATGCAATCATCTTAGCTTAAAGATATGTTAGACTGATGTGGTAGATAGCTGGTATAACACTTAATAAATAACTGCAGTGTTTTAAAATGGTAGTTGGTTTTAAAGCTAATTAGGCCCCCTAATCTAAAGTTTGTATATCCTAATGAAAATCATGTATAGAACTCTAAATCATTATCTCTTCTAAATACTCGAATACTTCGAATACTTCGAACATTATCTCTTCTAAATCGATGCTTACTATTTATTGACAATGGCGATAGCCGGGATTTGAGCCTAGGCAATTATGAATAATGGCTCTTCAATAAATATTGAAACATTTTAACATTAGATGGATTTAACAATTTAAAAACTATAGCAAGTTTTTTTTAAATCAGTCAGATCAACTAGCATATAAAATAGAACACGATTGGTGTTTTTTATACTTTGGCTTTTTGAACCTCAAACTCTGACCCAGTCAGTCACTTCCGAACAGTTGTCTCTTCCTAGGATGGTAATTTAATCATTTCCTTTCCCAATAAATGTCCTCTTTTATTTCGTACAGGAAGCCGACCGAGTACAAAGAGAACAGTTAATGGGCCAACCGTAATAACCGTAGTATGGTAAAACAATATATTCATGGGACGAAAATCTCCGTCTTTACCAAAACGGAGGATAACATTATTGAACATAAAAATGTTCATAGACATTTTACCTTATTATTTCTGTGTACTGTTGCAGGGCAGTTGAGAAGGACATGATGGGATGCTGGCTCGGCGTCATAGCCCTACTGGTCAGTCTTGTCCCACAGGCCTCAACAAGCGTCACGACGTCTACATCGCCGGTTTGTTACATAACTGTCTGTTGCAGGGCGGTTGAGACGGACATGACGGGATGCTGGCTCGGCGTCATGGCCCTACTGGTCAGTCTCGCGTCAGACGCCGGCTCCCAGCGTCCCACAGGCCTCAACAAGCGTCACGACGTCGACATCGCCGGTTTGTTACATAACTGTCTGTTGCAGGGTGGTTGAGACGGACATGACGGGATGCTGGCTCGGCGTCATGGCCTTACTGGTCAGTCTCGCGTCAGACGCCGGCTCCCAGCGTCCCACAGGCCTCAACAAGCGTCACGACGTCTACATCGCCGGTTTGTTACATAATTGTCTGTTGCAGGGCGGTTGAGACGGACATGACGGGATGCTGGCTCGGCGTCATGGCCCTACTGGTCAGTCTCGCGTCAGACGCCGGCTCCCAGCGTCCCACAGGCCTCAACAAGCGTCACGACGTCTACATCGCCGGTTTCTTCCCGTTCGCCCGCCACATCCCTGAGAGCAGTGTAGGCCGTGGGGTTATGCCTGCTGTAAAGCTCGCTGTGGACCACATCAACGAGAGTCCTCAAGTCCTGCGAAACTACCGTCTGCACATGTGGTGGAACGACACTCAGGTATGGCTATTATCCTTATCCTATTTTTGGCTTCCCTCCTGAGTAGGGATGAATATGTTTTTTCCAAATACTTAAGTTTTTTGTAAGTAGTGATGCTTGTACATGGATATTTATTTTAAGAAGAGTGCTACTATTCTTTCCACAAATTCCTCAAGTGGTTAGGCTAGTTTAGCTTAGCATCGTTTAATGAAGTTTACAATAATGATAAGCAAGGTAACATTTACGAAATCTTTCTAAAATCTACCAACATTTAACTGAACTTGAACTTACGAAAGCACGAATACACACGAGCTGAACCAACCTTAACTAACATAATCTAATTTCATCTAACCTACCCTAACATCTAACCTAATCACTAAAGTGCATTGTTTTTACAATGCGCGTCTTTTGAGGGGCAGCCCTCTGAAAAATACCCTTAATGGTTCTTAAGATAATATTCATGTTGGCTTAAGGTTAAATTAGATTTTTACATTACCCTATTGGCAAATGTTTAGTATATTTTGTATTCATGATAAAAGCGATTCATTGGATCCATTCCTATTTCTAAGGGGAGTAAAACGGTCAATTTTGTTTATGTACATTATACATTTACATTTAATTTTACATTTATACATTATACATTTCAATGAAGATACAAGTTGAATAAAATGTCTTGTGTACTAAGTATGTACAAGCTTGATGTAATTTAATACTGCCTACATTAAGCCTAAACCTGCTAAGTTTTAAGTTAGTTTTTATTCTTAAGTTGATGTATTAATTATTAGAGTATTTAGTATGTTTGTGCTTCAATTATTTCCCCTTATGTAAATTGCAATATAGGTAGAAAAAACCCAGACAAGTAATTTTAAGCTACACTTGCTCAGATGTAATTTAATTATTTAAAAATGCCTATGTTTGCATTTAAAGTATAAGTGAGGTTGCGAGTAAGATACCGAATTTAGTAAGTAAACAAATATTTCTTAAGATATTAATGGATATATCCTGATGGTTTTTTTTTTGCAGTTTAATGCCATGCAAAAACTATAATAATATAAAAAATTATCACTGAAATCAAGTCCATAAGGATACTTACACTTCAATTTCATAAAGATTTTGTTGAATACGCTTTTGTAGAACTGAATATATTTTTGGTCTTGTGTTTTGCAGCCTTAAGCATGTATAATGTTATGAATAGAATTGTAGTTCTTTTTATGACATTGTATGGTAATGTCATGGTTTTCATTCTAGATGGTAATTTGAAAATATGCTATAACATACACTTTGTTAAGTACAGCTAAATTCACGATTTCATTAAATTTATAATGTTATCCAAGGGAAATATATGGGGAATTATAAGATTTTCGCTACACTACTGTGACATGACACGTTTTCGTTGCATGTTTATCACCTGCGAAAATCTATCATTACATTGTATACTACGACAAAGGAATTTTTACTATGCGAAAGTAACGTTTACTTTTGCCAACGTAAAAAAACAAATATTTGTTATTGTTTTAAAAACTATTTCAATTTTCAACAACTAAAGTAAACGTTAACTTTAAATTGAAGTCATAACCTAAGAGGTTATATGAGTTTTGTAATGAAGAAAATCATTATCCTTTGTAGTGTAGCGAAAATTAACGTTAAAAAACGAGTGAAAGTGGGTCCATATATTACATATGCTCGACTATTTGAAGTGTTCGATAAATCTCGCACTTCAAACATGGTCTCAAATATGTAATGGATTTACTTTCTACTCTTGTTATGAAATATAATATTTCAACTTTTTTTATTTAGTTTTTACCCAGTCGAAAATTATTTCAGTGTTACTACCATTTTAGCACTATTTATTTAACTACTCAAAATTATTGAATAGTTTGTTGTAAATGTGAAAACCTTGGAGTATACATTCGATTTAGGTTGAGCCGAGCAACGAGACAAATGAGACGCTGGAGATACGAAACATCAGCTGATTCTCTGAGGGATGAACAGCTGTGGGGAGTTCTCTGGGGAGGCATACATCATGTGTAGCTGGACACTTTGGAGGGAAAACCTTAGGGACAACCACTGTTTGGCTGGACTAACTACATCGTTATTTCTGTTGACTTTTCAAAACTAATAAATAAATAGAGTTGTCTCTATATAGCTAATGCAATTAGATAATTAATGCCTCTCTATTTTAGTAAGTAAAATTGATTTTTAAACCGTAAAATAAAAAGGAAAAGAAATACAGGGTGGTCATAAATTATTGGACACATTTTAAGATTATATAAACAAATAACCAAGCAACTTAGAAACATGTGAATTGTTTCATTGAATAGCAAATTTAAAACAGTTTTATAGAGCAACTGCAAAACAATAATAATATAAATGTCAGTAATTGAAAAAAGTGGTTATAAAAAATTTGCAAAAATCACTCAAACAGTGAATGTAAGTTGTTTTTGTTATGACTTGTGTTGTGGCCTAGTCAGCATGGATAGCATGGCATAGTTAGTATAGCAAAACCATTAATGGACCTTTCTACACCAGAATAACTGTTCAAAGAAGGCTTCGTTTAGAGTATAACCGTAATTTTCTGTGTAGAAATTCTATAAAATGGTTGTATAGACAATTCGAACGACTGGAAAGTGTCCAAAATACAGTCTTAAGGGCCATACCCTCAGAAGAACATAACTTACAATAACAGTTTAGGTGATTTTTAAAGTCTTTTTGTAATTACTTTTCATAATTGCTGAAATGTTCATAATTGTTTTTTGCAGTTACTGTATAAAACTGTTTTAAATTTGCTATTTAATGAAACAATTCCCATGTTTCTAGGTTGCTTGGTTATTTATTTATCTTAAAATGTGTACAATAATTTATGACCACCCTGTATAACTGGGAAATTAATATGATTGATTATTACAGTAATAATGATTATCTTTGACAAAGTGACAGAAAAATTCGCATAAGTCTAAACAATTTCAAAAATTTGGTTTTATAAAATACGATGTATAGATTTTCCTCGGATGGACGTTTGTATAAGTTGGCAAACTCACATTTTTAGCATGGAGAAAACTATTTTGCCATACAAAATGTTTGCAACTACAACTATAAATATAAAATTACAGCTATCTAACACTTTTTCTATTTATAACTAACAACAATAGAACTTTTTAACTGGAATAACACCATAAAAAATTACTTTAATTTATTGTCTAGGCGACCACAATCTTCTTACACAGGAGGTGAAAATGCCATAAAGAAATCCAGCTAGCTAACCAATAATGTCAAAAACAATGTTGTTGGAAATACTCAGTAAGTGGGTTTTGCTCACATTTAGAAGAGTGAAGTTTGTTTGCTGTTTGGAAGACTTTCTACTCACGTTTAGAACAACTTCTTGAAGATTCCAGAAGCTTCTAGAAGACTTGGTCACCTCGGGTCGGGAAGGCAGTTGCGGCGGATTGTGATTTGAAAATCCGTCCAACTCCTTTCCGTCTTGAAGTGTCCATAATTCATGGAAGATTTACCTTAGAAATGCTCTACATTATTTTCATTCATGGAAATGATTTATTTATTGTTACATATTTTAAATTTTACTTTTGAACTGTAATTTGTTTCTGCTAATGAAATAATTAAGGTGCATAGAAGAATTACACCTAATTATTATTAAGTTTGGTGTTTGAATTACGTGTACAACAAAACCTCTATTAAGTTGAAGAATATAAACTTAAGGCTTTTTAACAATGTTGATCCACTTATGTTCAGGTTTTTACGACTAAAGCATAGTGTAATAATAGTAAGTAAAACAATATATGAAAAGTACATTTTGTGTATATCTTCTTTCAATCGGAATGTCGCGAAGGAAAACGAAGTACTGTTCATTTAAAAATGAATACATACAGTACCACTCTTAAGATATTTAATAATGTTTATTTAAATACTATTAGATATATTTTACATACCTACAAATTTAAAACTGTTTATGCTTCTTTTTGCTCAAGGCTTTGAAAACTATGTATCTGCTGGAATAAAAAAGGTGTGGAAAATCCAATATCGTGAAACATGTGTTGGAAAATGTTCTATAAATGGGGGAAACAAATCAAATACTTTTACTAACCCAACATAAGAGACAAATACGTGAAACCGAAGATTATTTCTTTCAATCAAAATATCTTAGCTTAAAAAGTTTTTTCTTACAGATAATTATCTGATATTTTCCTCGACATTATAAGCACTGACGCTTGACCACAGTAATTAACAAGCACTCCAATATACTCCTATTGTTATATGGACTTTTGATTGAGTGGAATTAATTTCTGTGGATTTTCTGAATTTTTTAATTTCTATCCTGACTGTATTTATAAGCAATATTTGCAATATTTGCTTCCATTTTAAATCAGCATTTACATGTTACTTAATTTGTAGTACATTTAGCGTAAAAAACAGACAGTTCCATTGTTAAGAGAAGAATTGTATTCTCAAAAATTATTGTAAAATAAATTAGATAAGTGTGTATGAAGGTTGTAAATAAAAAAGGGGAAATTGTGAAAGGGTAAATGGTATACTTATACATTAAAATCCAAAGTTAACACTATAATAAATAAACTTTGACTGTGGTGGTAATATTATACGTTTATTACTCCAAAATATGTTAATAATTACATTAGTTTATTTAATACTAGTCGATTGTTAATGCTAAGCTATGTTTTGCTTGTTCGCTCCTATTGAGCCCGAAGACGATTGGAGTAACAAACTAACATCAATCATAATTTTTTAACTCTCTGAACCGGTATCTTAGGAAGGTACATATTTTTTAATATTAACACTCCATAAAAAGAGGTTCCCAAAAAAGGGAACATATGTTAAGTGGTTGGAAGGGGCTGGTGTCAGAGTGAAGAAGTCTAGTGTGTGTGTGTGTGTGTGTGAGAGAGAGAGATTGGCAGGAGTGTAGGGGGGGGGGGCTGAGAGGGTGAATGATGGATCTGGGAATCCTCACAGGTTATTGGAGCCAGTCATGAGGCTTATCATGCCTGCCTCTGCCAGGCTCCGAAATGCATTACCTGCCGATATCTATTGATCATGCAACCCCATCATTCATAACCTACCAGATACGTTGTTGATTTTATTCTATTTCAAAAATAACTTTACATCGATTCATCAAAGTTCGTTGAACTTTACTCTGTGTCAGTGAAATACTGTGCGCTGTGTATCAGTCTGGGCCAAATTCAGTTTACACATTAAATTTTTAACCCTCTTACTCTCTTGGTTGTGTACTATGTTGGTTGTGTGTACGTTGACATGTAAAAATTTATATTTTAAGCTATTGTAAGTTCACATTAGAGGCAAGTTTGACATTAGCCTTAAAAGTCTTTATATATGTAATGATTTACAGCCTTAACTCCTGTTGTGTGGATACGATCCTACTGATGTATCATGTTAATTAATAAAACAAGGAGTTTACTGAAACTGTTGTAGATAGTTTTTATCCCCTGCGCTTTAATGTTTTCAGATTTTAAAGTGTAAAGTGCAAATTTTGTCAAGTAAATACCTCTGGTTTTTAGGAAAATTAAATTCATTGTAACTTGATGTTTCAGTGTAATGCTGCTGTGGGGGTAAAAGCCTTCTTTGACATGATGCACGATGGTCCTCACAAAGTGATGTTGTTTGGCGCCGCCTGTACTCAAGTGACCGACCCCATCGCCAAGGCCTCCAAACACTGGCATCTCACACAGGTATGCTTAAATGTGGGTCGCCGGAATGGTACCCCCTCGGAATTCTACCCCCACCGATCGAGGATGTCATATTGGCGTCACATCTAGAGGGGGTACAATTCCAGGGGGTACAATTCCGCTACTCCTTAAATGTTACTTTCCTCTTTCGTCATTTTGTTTGGTAGTGCTTGAAAAGAAGCTACTGACTCTTCTGTCAAGGTATTTGATGTAAAAAAAATATTTAATAAGAAAAAAAGAAACTTTGACCATCATTGACTAACCGAACTCATCCTAATCTTAAATGCATATAAATGTCATCCTAATCACATTACAAAATATTGCTTACAGGTATAAATTGAAATAAGGATAATTGTTATATCCAAAAGCAATTATGTTTAAACCTAGTTTACCAGAGTGAAATAATTAATTGATTCAACCCCGTAAATTAATCGGCTTGGTAAAATAGTAGACTTAAAATATCAGAGACAGGTTCTGTGAAACAGTAGACATTAAATACAACATTATACATGTACGCCATACATAGAGAAATGTTTTATACGTGCATTCACATAGAAAGCTAGAAAAAAGTGTAATACGTAGGAATACATTTAATAACTTTGCTCATTTTTCAAAGAATTTTCTTTCACTTGACAATGGAACTGAGACTTAGGTCTATATTGGTATAGCAACAAAATATTACCAAGAAGAACCCTTATATCGTGAGCACTATAAAAGTTAACAGCTTTTAGTGCAATTTATCTTGAACGGCTCTTAGAATATTGTGCAAGAAAAATCTTTGATGTGATATTGAATTATTATACTTTGATGTTTTTTCAGCTGTCGTACGCTGACACACATCCGATGTTCACTAGCCATAACTTCCCTAACTTTTTCCGTGTGGTGCCTAGCGAAAACGCCTTCAACCTTCCAAGATTAAAACTCGCCCAGCATTTCAATTGGAACAGAGTGGGCACCATCTATCAAAACGAGCCCCGCTACTCATTGGTAAGTCAGAAAATTTATAATATTTACATTTATATGAATATAATTACACATACATGATTATTCTAGGTGTACTAGTTTTGATGAACTTAAATGATTACTGATTTTAACAGGCTCACAATCGCCTAGTTGCGGACTTGGACTCGATGAACTTCACGATAGCGGAAACACAAAGTTTTGCCAACGAAGTTGCCTCCGCTATCCTGAAGTTACAGGAGAAGGATATTCGTATTATACTCGGGAACTTCAACGAGAGCTGGGCGAGAGCGATCTTCTGCGAGGCTTACAGGTTTGTTAATTACTACAAAAACACGTAATAGTTAGTAACACGAATTGTATTTACATCATTTAAAAAGAATACGTGTTAATTATAGTGTTTTATTATGCTAGTTGGGAATATTTATATTCTAGCTCTAAACTGTATGTCAATAGCAACGGAAATCCACTCAAACATGTTCACCAACGCGTTCATAATCAATATTTACTTTGAAATGTTGTGCACGTATTTACATGGATGTTTATGTAAACAATGTCTACTAACTGTATAAATAAAATTAAACTTAGTTGAAACTCAGGCCCACGCATTTCTTGGAAGGTAATTTCATCATTTGGTGATGAAATAATAATTGCATAGACTGTTTTGAATGATAACTTATTCCAGATAATCAGGCAATACTCTAATTTAGGCTGGAATAATTTATTTATTCATTTGCTCTAATTGAGACTAATAATCTAAATATTCTAATGAATAAAACACGGTACTGCATGTCAGCAGTGACATGTTTAATGCCGCAATATTGATCACCGATGGTTTCTGGATTTGTGATAATGTCTCGACCCGATAGTTTGTACTCCAATGAGAAAACTTGTATTTTATTTAGGTGATGGCGTATTTCGTATTGGGAAACATAAGCAATATGACTTTCAGTATTTCTTTGCCGTAGTAAAATTAATCTTACATGTACAATGCAACATGTTTGCAGCAAGAAACATTTGACAAGAAAGATTCTATCAACTTTTTAAGTCATAACCTCTAGCGAATTTCCCATAAGGAATAAACTAGGCCTACAGTGTTATCGTTGGTCTCATGGTATAAGACCTACTCCCGGGACCGATTGAATTTATTTATATACGTGTCCATTAGCACGATAATATGAGTAAAAATTTGATGTAATTTGGGACAAATGTGTAAACAGTGGTTTGTCCGGGGATGCGGAATACTATCCCCCGGAAACCCCTCCCCCCCAGGTGAAACGTGACGTCACGAAATATGGGAGCCGTGTCCGCGACTGGAATACTACCCCCCCCCCCTACCAAAATGTGATTCTATGTAATTGTAATTTAAATTCTAGTAATTCCGTTTGATAACAGAAAAGGCATCCAGGGAATATCATACAGAATTTTGAAATGTTACAGCAAGTTTGGTTGATTAGGTTAGGTTAGTTTAGAACAGTATGACAACGAAACTTGAGTGTACGTGACTGGAAAACAACCGCCCCCCCCGAGGAACCTGTTCGGGGGGGGGGGGGGGGTAGTTGTCCGGGGGCAGTCTTCCGGCGACCCATTTGTCCGAACTAGTTCACGATTAAAGAGCGAATATGGGAGCCTTGAAACCTAAGCCTAGCTGTACGCACATTTGTTTCCTTTTTTTTAGAAAAACCTAAAATGTATTAGTTGGCTTGATTGAGGATATATTTCGATCTCAATTTACAATGCTATTGACATTTTACTAAAACCCCGTGTTATCAGAGAAGGTGATAGCAGCACACCGAAGTCCTCAATAAACCTAATTATTTTTTTCTGGGAATGAATCCGACATTTATAATTAAATATCTTTGTGAAAATTAAATTAGTCAAATAAAATTTACATACCCTTTTCTGTGGTGAGTGTATTAATAAAATATCAAGTTTCCTTCATTAGTTGCCTTTGTCTATCAGAGTGGGGATGGTTGGTCGGAAGTACCAGTGGTTGATCATGGGCACCTACAGTGAACGGTGGTGGCTGGACGAGACAGCTCCTTGCCCGCTGGACCAGCTACAGGCGGCGCTGGAGGGCTGTATACTCACCGATCTGCTACCCCTAGCTACCAGTGGCGAGATCACCATCTCAGGCATTGTGAGTAATATTGTTTGGTTACTGAAGTAGCCGTCCTATGTGGACCAGCCGTAGCAAATCGTCATAAAAACCGTAGCTCAAAAATCCACTCACAGAATGCCCTACAGTGTAAAATAATATTTTCCTACAACTGCGTGGAAATGATCACATTGCCATACCTTTAAACAGTACGCAAAATAGCTCATTGACACTCTAGAGCACAAATAGATCATTCCAGCTCGCTAATCAGCTGATCACAGTTGTCATTTCTACACCAACCACAGCCGCTGATCCGGTTTAGTTAACAACCGGTAAGAAAATATCATAACCTAAAAGATTTAACCTTAATGACTTAACACATCTAAAAAGATTACCTGTGCGTTATTGTAAGTTAATTATGTAAAACTATAAAGTATTGGCTTATAATTGAATAATGTATTGCTTTGAATAAATATTTATAAAATCTACAATGATACAAGTGGTGGTTGTGTTGATTTTAAAGTTACTACTATAAAATCTTTACATGGTAAAAATAATTCTTCAAAACTGGTACATGTAGTTAAACCTTTCGGAAATTCCAGTTGTTTTTACCTCTTTCCCATCCTTTATTCAGAATGATTAACAACTACTTAGAGTCGTAACTCGTAAATCATGCAATGTGCGGCGTGGAGGAGAGACCGGGACTTTTTGTGTTTGGCCCTGAGGGAAATACGGCTTAAAGAGACGTTTATTTACATTCCAGAGAAAAAAGTCTACTTTTTCAGTGAGAAACGATGGTTTAATTTGAAATAATTTTTTATATACAGATTTTAGGTATCGAATTGTTGTAATAATTTTGAATAAAAGTTCAGGGACGAATAGTAAATCTATTAAACATTTTGCTGTAATTTCAAATTATGACATATTCTGTAATAATATTAGAAGTATTTTTTGGTATGCTGGGAGAAACTAATGTTTACAAGATTGTTAACTAATATAGATGATCGCTTAAGAAACATCTATTACGAGTTGGTGATGAGTTTTTATTAAGAATATTATTAATAAAAAGTTACAGGATATATGCTTTTGAATTTACTGCTTGTATTTTATTAATAGTAAGTTTCCAGTCCATACTATTTTTATTGAATGTGTGATAAAACTTGTGTGTCATTTTTGGCTTCGTTTGGACACTTCATGTGCCATGTGTCATGTGTCTACTTCATGTGCTACCCATATGAATCCATGTAAAAAGCTGTAGGGTAAAAAAAATTCAGAAAACATCTGTTTGCATGGAACGTATTTTTAAAAGACCTGCAATGGTTATTAAGACTGAATTTTAGCCTAATTTTTATGGATTCAAGGATTTATTTGCTTGGTAAATAAAAATTAAATTAATCATACAATTTTGTTTTACAATTAGTGCAAACGGTTTTGTGTTAGTCGTTTACAGGTTCACCATGGTTTTATGTCACCTTGGCGTTAGGAATGGTAAAGTTCGTTTAGGTTAACTTGGGTTATGTTAGGTTAGGTAAGGTTAAGTAAGGTAAGTTTAGGTTGGGTTGGGTTTGGTAAGGTTGGGTATTGGTTAAGGCTAGGTTGGGCTTATGTTGTTTATGCCTATGGGCATTTCAAACAAACCTTTAGACGATCAAATAACCGTCCCCATGCTTTGCTGCAGACCGCAGACGAATATCGGCAAGAGTACGACTCTCGGAGAGGCCAGGAGTACTCGAGGTTCCATGGGTACACGTACGACGGAATCTGGGCGACCGCCTTGGCCATCCAGCATGTGGCGCACAGGATACGTCACGTGAGGAAGAACACAACTGTCATAGACTTCCAGTACCGGGACCCGGTGTGGGAACAGCTGTTTCTGGAGGCTCTGCGGAACACCAGCTTTGAAGGAGTCACAGTACGTAATTTTTTAAGAGGTTAACTTTGCATTTACCCGTTGAAAAACACTACTGATCTGTGGGTGTAACGTATCCAGAATGGAGTAAGCCGGTACAGTACGAAGGTGAACAGTACTGATAACATGTTTGTGGCAGAGACCAGGATCCGAACCCACGAAATCGATGCCTTTGGCCCGAAGTCCGTGACGCTACCAACTGAGCCACCGACTCACCCACCACCATTTACCTCTATTTACTTATACTCCATGCCACATTCGCTGTGCAGTGCAGAGCAAAAATAAACAATGTATCTTAGATGACAGACTGAGAGAACCAGTTTAACAACCAAACTCACTTGTTTGTATCAAAATACGTTAACTCCTTGAATGTAAATAGATATTTATGATTTTATAGTAGTCGGTAATTCACTCGAAATAGAAGATAATATAACAATCAAGCCCTTCAAAAAGAGAATCAGGAAGCTTATCTACTGCTTAATGTATTTTGAAAAGGTTCGATATAAGTCCAAAGTATCTGTAACATTTTCCTTTTCAGTATACAACCAAGTAATTTGGACAAAAAAGATAAACAAATATTAAAAGCTGCAGAGTGAAATCAGTCCCCTTATTTTAACCTTGGTTTCAAACACACTGTTAACCACCATATTTTCCCAGTAAAACACAACATAGCCATTATAGATAAAGTGCAATGCATTTAAATTAGTAATTAGGTAGTGAAAACAATTCGTTATCCACCGTCGCGACAACCTGAAATTACCAGCCTGCAATTAGCTGTTGTCAATGTTAAACAAACGCGAACAACTAAACGGTGTTTTGTGAAAAGGGACACTCAACGGTTAAATGAAAATTGTAATTACTTTCTTGCCTTACTTTTAACAAGGTTTCTATTCATACGAATCATATTTAAATACATGCTTAGTTGAAACGTTTATATAGATTGTGTTGCTGCATCTTGAACAATGTAAAATTCCTGCTACAAAACTTAAAATCAATTACTACACATAAGCTTGCCTTATTAAATATGAACATATATATTAAAATATTTTACTTTTCAAGATGTGTTCCATATTTCTAAAATTGTACTACAGCACGAATTCAAATTAATGATTCTTGCTATAACACAATAAATACATGTGCCATTATATCATAAATACATTACTGTATACTGAATATATTACAATTGGCGTATTAAATATTTTTTTTAACATGAATTTTCTGTTACAGGGACCTGTAAGGTTTTACGACAACGAGAGAAAAGCCAACATCATGCTGAAACAGTATCAAAGTACGTTCTCGTGTGTGTACGATTTTAACTCTACACATTTGTATAGGATTAATGAGTTACACATTTTGAGTAACAAAAATTTAAGTGTATATTTTAATTAAATTATTTTGTTACCTTACAATATCCTGTTTAGTCTTGGTAGACAAATTACATGTTTCGTGGCGACTGCCACATCCTCAGGTTTATCCTCTTCTCAGATTCGTCAACAATTTAAAACATAAAACACAGAACACACGTAAAAAAACATTACATTTATTTTGGTACCGTCACGGTTGCGTGTACGCGTTTGGTCAGGCCGGGCGTCGGGCCGGACGCTTTGGGTCGCCACCGGCCCGACCAAACGCGTACACGCACCGTGACGGTACCAAAATAAATGTAATGTTTTTTTACGTGTGTTCTGTGTTTTATGTTTTAAAGAGGATAAACCTGAGGATGTGGCAGTCGCCACGAAACATGTAGTTTGTCTACCAAGACTAAACAGGATATTGTAAGGTAACAATAATAATTTAATTAATATAAAGCAATATCCAAAAGTAGGACAATGAATACTGCATATTTTAGTATATTGATTAAGATAAGGTATTTTATAGTTGATAGCACGATGATTCGTTAAGAAAAATTACACATTTTATATTTTGATCAAATACTAAACAATCTTTTAAGTAGACTTTAGGCACTGTGGTAAGATTTTAAACAAAGTTAATTATAAACCTTTGTCAAACAAAATAATGCGTTGGACTCATAAATTCTTAAGTAAATTTTGTAATATATTAATCTCTGTTTTGAAAACACCTAACGGTACTTGTTTATACAGTTTTTTAAGTTCAATGAAGATATGCATACCAAAAAGCAGCTTAACTGCGTTTTTGTTAATTTTTTGTAATTTACTTTCACATATTACTTCATTTTCGGTGTTTAAATTTGAAAAAGTAAATTTAGAAAATCCATTAGAACTACGTTAAAATTAGATAATAATTGTAGTATTACATGGAAACTATAAAATTATTAGAATAGTAGATTCACTAAGTTACAACGTTTCTATCGTCGCCTCTTACATTAAAATGTACCTTTTGAAATTTAATTTTCCAGACGGGGAGGAGGTGAAGATAGGAGAGTTCAACGGCGTGACTCAACAACTTGACCTGAGTAAAGGCCAGGGTATCTGGTGGCGGGATGGGAGAGGACCTCCTAAAGACAGGACTCTACAACAGTTCGAGCACTCACATGTTAACTTGGCCATCTACGCTTCTCTGGCAGCTACTGCGTCCTGTGGTATCATCATGGCAGCGGTATTCCTCGCCATCAACATCAAGTATCGCAACCAGAGGTACAGGACGTGTAGGCTGAAACTAAAATAAAAAATATTTATATATAGACTTGCAAGAGAATCAACTTTGTAAAAGGTGTGACAGGGAAAATATTATGATAATGTAAGCTTATGAGTTTGAAGAAAATAAGTATTACTAGCATGTAACCCTTCTTGAATTTGTTGGATACGGACGATCAAATTGATAAAAGGTGTTATATGTCACGCACCGTATGGTTTGTAAATCATTTTCTTGCAATTTTATACTTAAATGAGATAAATATCAACTTTATCAACATGTTGGATCTAGTACCATTTTATTGCACTAATCTTTACATTTAAAAAACTAAAGTGCAAACAGTGATTTAAACGTATAAAAAAACATGGTATTTGAAGGGAAAAACTTTAGACCAGCTTCATTAAATTTATTAGTGGCGGGTAACCTGGTGTATGTGAGTATATATAGGAAGTAAATAGTTAGGATTTATAACCCTATAAAAATTACGAAACTTTACTGTAAGCTTATAAATGCTAGGAAACTAAAAGATAAATGAGAGCCTCACTCGTAAGACACCTTACTTTGAAATGCAGAGACTGTTAGCTCAACTATTGCTTTTGCGGACCAGGTACATCAAGATGTCGTCACCGCACCTGAACAACCTCATCATCGTTGGATGCATGCTGACGTACAGCAGTGTTATCTTCCTTGGTATGGACTCCCGCCTGACCAGTGAGCACGCCTTCCCTTACATCTGTACTGCACGCGCCTGGCTGCTTATGGCGGGCTTCTCCCTGGCCTTTGGTGCCATGTTCTCCAAAACGTGGCGGGTACACTCGATATTCACCGATGTCAAGCTGAACAAAAAGGTAAGAATGGTTCTTCTTATACACTATTTCAACTGTGGAACTCTTACATCAATGACTGTAAACGAAACCAATCAGTAATTGATTGTTTGATCAAATATTACATGTATACATAATTTTATATATCTGTTTACCTGTCGATATTTAATTGCTATTCAATTGTCCATAAAAATGTTATGTAGTTATGATTCTCTGACTGAATCTAAATTTAAAATAGGCAAAGAAAATGTATCACTTATATGTTATATTGTAAGATCACTACGGATTTTGCCACATAAAGGGGCGTTTTAAACATTATCAATATTCTAACAAACAGAAATAGAATATATAATCCAAAACAAAAAGACTGAATATTACAATAATCTACATGGTACTTTATCCTGTATTCTAGCATATGCTATTTCAGGTATTTCTACTACAGTTTTGAGATAAAGTAATAAATTATGCAGATGGTCTAGCTTTCAAATATACATATAATTTTATTCATGCTAAAATGGTATGTCATAGCATTTTTATGATAAACCAAACTCCAAACTAGGGTGGATTGTTTAGCCTATTATTTGTAAATTTACAAGATAATTTTTTAAAGGTAAATGGTTATCATAGTTTGCTGTGAACTGTTATGTACCAAACTATAATAGTATTAGTAACCCCTGCGATCTTTAGTAAACATTACAATTCAAGTTGGTTTAATTTTTCACCTCAATTGCAAAGACTCGAATCGAATGACCAACTATTAAACTATGAATAAAAACCTAAACGTCTGGCAACTTTAGTAGCATGTCTTATGATTTAGTCAGTAAACGGTTATTGATTATCCGTTATACCCCTGTGTCACACGAACTGATAAAATCTGTTAGATGAGAACCATTAACAGACTTTCAGTTGATGACCTACTTAATCATTCCTAAATGCCGTAATAATTCCTTGTAAAGTATTTATTTTCAAAACCTTACTGTGCATTACCGAATTTAGTTTGGCAAAAGTAATAAGAATATTTTTGGTTCGTTGGTTTTTATTTTACAAAGTTTGTTACATAGTTTTATCTTATTTTAATATATATGCTTAGGGGAGATACGTGGTCTAAAATTCACCATTATCCACCAGTTACGTTACTAATAATCAACCAAAATATATTTTACTACTCATTGCAGTAAAGGGTCCATTATCCTAAACAACTGTGAAATGTGGATTTCTATCTGATATCATTCGGATTTTCGATAATTGATAGTAACATATTTGAGATACAATATTTTAACTTTGATTGATAACATTTACTGTATTACCATTGTATTACTTTACCATCTTCTGTTTTTACTGTATAATCTTTTTGGCATACATATACTAATTTATTGATGTTACAAATAACTAGGTTTTGTGTCATTAAGAACTGAGATTACAAACTTACTATGTAGATGCTCATAGTTATGGACTCCTTCCACTGCTTGGTTGCTTGAGGTTTTGTTTTTTATAAGTATCTGTTGATCAAAATATTAGAAAAACTACTTATCAAAACGTGACATCTTGTTTGGTTTTCGACCAGATGTTTTATCCTGGCAATTAAAAACTGTTATCTGATAATAGTAATGGATTAAAGATACCTGTTAAAAATTTAAACCTTTATTTTGCCCCTAACTAGCTGTTTCATTGTTGATGACCAAGGTCTACTACCTGATGATAGTGGTAGTTGTGATACTTGCCATAAAAAAGGCAACCTGTGTAATGTATTTAACCAGCTGTTTCACTGTAGGTGATCAAGGACTATCAGCTGTTTATGGTTGTTGGTGTGCTACTTGTCATAGACATGGGTATCATGACCACGTGGCAAGTCACAGATCCTTTCTACCGGGACACCAAGCAGATGGAACCTTACGTGAGTAAAGTCTACATTCAAAAGGTGAACTGTTGCTAACCCACTTTTACAAGTTTTAAAGCAGTTATAATCAAGGGATTTGGTATTTTGGATAACTGTACAGCCAAGTTAGTAATGAACACCAAGAAATTTATTTTATAAAAGTGTTTAGTTGTTTAATTGCTTGTGTAATAAGTCTGTAGCCTTATTTTTTTCGTTTCATGGTACTTGCATAAGTTGTAAACTATATGTTATACTTTTTCTTCTAATTTAAAATTTGTTTTCATTATCAATGAAAGGATTTAATTTACAAAAATAATTTAGTTTCTAAAATAGCTTTTAAATCATAACGTAAGGTTAGTGATTTCTTTATTAAGGGCTGTTTTTGTCACATATTCCAAGCTTGGAAAAGGTAACTCATGTAAAAGAATCTAACATTTTGATCGATGTTAAAGTACACAAATTTAACTAAAAATCCACCATGATTATTTCAAGATAAAAAACCTATCCAAAACGTATGAACCTCCTAACGAAAATAACTCCTAACGTTTTACTATTACTGTAATAGTTCGTAGTCATTGACAGTAGTAATTAGGGTATAAAAAAGCAGATTTCTCAAATACACATTAGAGAATAATAGTATTAAATTTATTATCAAAACTAGATACATTTTTAGGTCAACTGTACCTTCGTCATGTGACACACTTTATGGTGAGAATATTAACGAAATAACTATTTTAAAGAAACTTGTTTGTTTCAGTCGCACCCGAACAGTGAAGACATCATTATAATTCCGGAGAATGAATACTGCCAAAGCAATCGCATGACAATCTTCGTCGGTTCAATTTACGCTTATAAGGGGCTGCTCATGGTACGTCAACTTTGACATTTCTGTTTTGAGTTCAATTAACATAAATACTCATGTATGATTAGGATTCAATGAGCTGTGACTTTTAAAAACACCATACTATTATGAATATACGAGGGGACCCGTACACAAGGATTCCATTTTCATATTATTCCATTCCAAAGCAAAGCCACTAATTTACAATAAATAAAGTTTGTTGCTTTTAGATGGACAACATGACGAGTGTAGACCTTTTAAATATGAAGATGGAGTTAATTATTTTGATCCGGAATTCTCATCTATTTGATACAGGCTAGAGCATCTTTCCATCTAAACATCACTGCATTATGTTATATTAATATCGTTAGTAAAAATGATAAAGAAAATTCTCACAAAATAAACTCTAAGTTTTAATTCATCCTTTGCAAAGGGCTGGCAAAATCCTTTAAATTGTTTAACAAAATTATAGCTTGATAGAGAATGCCTTTTTAAATTTGTTCTTCTAAAGTTTTTATACTGGCCCTCACTTTAAGCTGGAGTTCTTTATTTCACCTATTGAGTTTCCAAAATCACTCGAAAGACCTTTCTTTCACCCTCTTTTGTCACTCTTGTCTCGTAACCTTTCTTAATCGAATTTGCTATAGTAAATCATTAAAATGTGATATTACCCTTAGGCCTACTTAGAATAGTGACTTGGTATTTCTGCTGTATATTTTACTTTGTTAATTCTTATGTAGCATGAAAGACAATTAACATATTCTTATTCTTATTATTCTTATACTATAAAGTGCCAAAACGATATTGAGTGGATTTTATACCCAAAGCACTGAGTCCAATGATTTTAAGTAGGCCTACCTCAACACTGTAGAGTTTAAATATACGACACTAAAGACTCTAACATCATAGATTAGCTCAGGATGAACCATATTGCCAAATTTAGCATCTTGCAGCATGTTTGATACATGATCATGCCGCAGATATTCGGCGCGTTCCTGGCATGGGAGACGCGGCATGTCAGCATACCCGCGCTCAACGACTCCAAGTACGTCGGCATGAGCGTCTACAACGTTGTCCTCATGTGTGTCATGGGCGCCGCCATCTCCTTCGTGCTTTCCGACCAGCAAGACGCTTCCTTCGTCATGGTCTCCATCTTCATCATCTTCTGCACCACCACCACCCTCTGCCTTGTTTTTGTGCCAAAGGTAAAGCAGGAAAGTAAAATCTGGTTTTTCCACTAACCAATTTATTTAACCTTTTGCGAATTCGTTCTTTTATAAAATGTTGTTTGAGGTTGGCAGATTTTGTGACAAGGATTGATATCGAGGATCTATTTGTTTGTTACTATATTAGTTAGTGTCAAACCCGCCCTTAAAGAGTTGAATAATTTTTGATAATGATATTAACGTTTTCAAAGCAGGGTTTTATCAAAATCCATGGCAAAATCCATAAATGAAGGCAAGCACATTTTTTACACTTTTTTAAATGTATCTGTTTGCTCTGGAATTTATTTATAGGTGACTATGGTTTTTATACATTTTCATTAAAATTTTAGAAATAGCTAGTGATATATTCCCAAAATTCTGGGACTGAAACTTACTCACTTTTACTCCTGCTTTATTGGGTCTGTAAACTAATTTAGTCTACATTTCCCACAGTTGGTAGAATTAAAAAGAAACCCTCAGGGTGCTATCGACAAACGTATCAGGGCCACCCTCAAACCGATGGGGACCAAAAGAAGAGACTCCTCGGAACTGGAAGAGAGACTGAGAGATGCAAAGAATCAAAATCAAAGATGTAGAAAGATCTTGTTGGAACGGGAAGCTGAACTTCAAGCTCTCCTGAGACGAATGGGTTCAGACGAGACTAGATTAGCGCCTCCACAGCAGGACGTAGGCCAGCTTAGGCGAGATGGTAAGTAAATCAAATTTTTCAATAATGTATGTAATTTATGACACAGCCAAACATGTTACTAACATGACATGTTTGGATTGGAAGAAAAATATTATTTTATAGTTGATACATTTCTAAAATGTGGGGTTACGTTAATATCACTGCTGTAAGGCAAACATAATCTATCATTTACTTTTCATTCGGTTGGTGACAAAAAAGACAATACAATATCAAACGCAAAAACCGATAAAGAATTTAATACCCTTCATCAAGACTGGGACATTGTCCACATTAGAAACAGAATGTTAACACTTTTACCAAAACCCTGGGCCTGTAAGACTCCATTTGAAAATTATGCACCCCTCTTTGAAACTCACAAACCGAAACCCTGGGCCTGTGAGACACCGTTTTAAAATACACTAACGCTAGGCTTCTGAGACGGGCATGTTATGAACAGACGACCTGCCAAAGTCGCGTCACCCACTCAAAATGAACAAACAATATATCAACAGGTAGGGGAGGAAAAGGGGGGAAGGTATTTGGGGAATGGAATCCCCCAAGTAAACAGTGTTGCCAACATGCGTTTGTGAAAATTCCCGTGGGCCTGTCAGATCCGGGGTTTCGGTAAAAGCCTTTTTTAAGGAAGGGAGTCGCATTGATTTTTATTTAATTATGAACTGCGAGCTTGACGATGATTTCTAGATGAGCACCTGACCCAGCCCAACAACACGCGGCTGACTGTATCAGCACCCTCACACACTGAGACTACTGACGTCAGCTCGTTGTGCTCTCTCAACTCTTCCCAGGACGGCGAGTATGTCAACCTGATTGACGCTCCTGTGCAGAAGTAAGATATACATGTGTTTGTGATATGTAGAATGATCAAAGGTGGGAAAACTAAAAGTTTCTGAAGTAAAAAACCTACATTAAATAAGTTTTCCAAAATAACCCTCCTGAAGAGTATTCATTCCATCCACGTCGGTCAGCTACATCAATTTTTTTCGCGCCAAAGTTAAACTGCACGTAGTTGGACTGCACGGAATGAAGGTTTTGTACTGCTATTCATCTTAATATCCTAATATGAGATAGGTGCCATGAAGAAAAATAGGAGTCGTTGCCAATAAATAGTTAATTGGGTCGGAAAAACTAATTAGTTTCACTTAAGAAACATTAAACTGTCTTTAGTATAATCTATTAGTCAAAGATTAATTTTCCAAACCCAAGAACCCTTTTCTAACAGAACGTACCCAAAAATTGTATGATGAAAATTTCATAACAAAACAAAACACCAAAGAACTTGATAGAATATAAAATACTGCCAGGGGTTTACATATATGTTTTTAAAACAACTCATAGCACCAACCAGTGACTCAGAAATGTATTTAATCTGTTACTCTACTTCTAGATAGCCTTCTAGATGGATTGTAGCCTTGTTGATCTATGGATTGTCTCCAGAGCTAAAATATACTTTTAAAAATTTTTACAAAATACATACTGTATGTATTTTCCAGAAAAAAGACCACCTTCGGAAGTAAGATCCCAGCAATAGCGTTGGATGACTCAGTACCAGTGTCTCCTGGTCTAGCAGTGATATCGGAGAGCAGTTCACTGAGAGAGCGGTTACCATCACCGCCACCTAACAAGGCAGTTTCCTGGGAGGAGAAACCACCAACGCCACCCTCCTCAGCCACCATGGCGCTACGGCGACGCTCTAGTGCCACTCGGCCGCCCACGCTGCTGCACACGCCACCCGCGCCGCGACGCACCAGCGTGCCCGGCCGCCGCACACACCCCACGTTTGTGCACCAGGACGAGTTGTGGCTGACGCAGCGCCACTGCCGCCCCAGATGTTTGCTCAATAACGCATCGCCGCCTGAAGGTATATTTGAGAAGTTAGCTGATGTATATGTCTTCCATATAGTCAAAAGCGTGTTTGAGGGAATAAAAGATAGAGCAGCAGATTGCAACAATTAAATGAAGCCTTAATGTTCTTTTGCAGAAGACCTACATCCGAATCAGTTTTAAGGTGATCGATATACTTTAACCTACATTTATCTTTAATAACGAACATTTGGTAAACATATTTTCTAGAAAAGAAGTAAGCTGAGGGGTTTCAATTGAAAAAATATTGCTAATACAGTTATTTTCTAAATACATAATTTATTTGACGGCAATTTTAAACACAAAGACCTAAGCTAGAATAGAGTATGCAATCTCTGACTTTACACGATAAGAAAAGTAAGTTTTAAATTCACGTAGAGCTATAAAGTACTGAAACAATAAGGCTAGAAGTTTATTTATCATTGCTTATGAAAGTTGTCAAAGATAATTAGGTTTCAGCTGAAGTTAAGCTAGACGTTTTCCTTATTGAAATTCCTAGCTTATTACGCAAGAGATGTTGGTATTGCTTTTTGGCTTTAGGGGTAATACCTGCGTTGCTTTCCAAACACACGAACTAACTATATCAGCGTGTGTTAATTTACTCTCTATACAAAACTAATGGTACCATGTAGGCCTACCTTTCTTCCAAATGGTTTTATAAATAAGAAGAGAAAACTATATTGTCGTGTTTTGCATACCCCAAATATGGTAAGTATATGTTACGATACCGTAAAAACCGTGAAAACCTTCTTTATAAGACTCGGTGACGAAGAATTTCAGTTTTTAATCCTGAACTATACAAAAATCCTTTTTATATGTTGTAAAATTTATAACACTAGTTTTGACCCTACAATATGTCACTAATGGCCAAAATAAATGTGTCCTATTCACTATTTAGTATTTATCTTTGTATTAGTTTGAGTTTACTTTACATTAAAGTGTTCCAACGTTAGAGTTACTTTAAACTAAAATTGTCAAGCCAGTTCTATTAATTAATTAATTTATTTTTTAGTTAATAATTGAATGCTCTTTTACTTCTAACAATGTAATAAAATATTAAAGAAATTAGTAAGATCCAGGCTCTTGTTATTTTACTCTAAAATATAATATGCGACAAAAGTAACCAAGATCGCATTTGGTGGTGTTTGAAGACTGTTTGTTTTAAGACCAGGAACCTAACTTAAAGTTAGTTTACATGTTCATGACAAATATAGCTAATTCCTCTGTGTACGCAAATTTTATCCGTCGCACCTTATTGAATTCCCAAGCAACTGAGCGATTTATGAGCAGGTCTAAAAGTATGAGCACGTATTCATCAACATTTTAGCTCATTTGAAAAGGGCAGTGGCTAAAGGGGTTTTCAATAGATAAATACAGTTTGTCCCATTCAAATGATTGTTATGTAAATCCCCCCCTCCGACATGGGTATGTTTTGTTTGGTAGGTATACTCAATGTATATACCTAGCCTAGCCTAACTTAACCTTTATGGTTTTTACAAGGTTAAAAGTGATCTGACCGGGGCAACACCAGTCCAACTATTATGAAATGAGATAAGATAACAGTTGATAACGCTCAATATAGTCGTTTCCACCAATATGTGATTCCGTTAACACTCCTAACTCATTTAAATTTCCTTTATTATAAGGCAAATTTAATAGTGACGACTCTTAATCAAGCCCTAGGTTTGGTCCCCCGAGCCATGCTTAGTAACCCAAGTTTGCAGTATTTCCTGCACACTTGACCAGTGCTTCGAGATGGACTTTTTACACGTCCTTACTTAAAGTAGATTTTTTTGAGTGTTAGTGACTGGTTTATGTCAATATGTTACTATATCATCATCAAAACTCATCTAATACTCCTCTGTTCCCCAGTATCGGACGAGGACGTCTCAGTGATCCAGAGAACGGCCTCCGAGCGCAACCGTGACCGTGACAAGTGCTGTCACAGACCTCTGAAGAAGCCTACTCCGGCGCATGTGCAGAGCACCCCTAACGTTCTAGCCGGGGCTGTGTCAGAAGGTGAACTACTTGACCTTGCGATTCTACCAATCTTTCAAAAACTGCTCACAGAGAGGCGTGGAGCCGCGATCGCGTCTTGCCCGAACATTGCTATTAAGTGTGATATAGTAGAGTACCTTTAACAGTGTCCAGTGGCGTTGGGAACTTTACTTTTCAATTGGGTAGTGAGTGTAGTACCGACTCGGTGGAACTTGTGTTACAATAATTGGAGATGTGCGTGCGGAAAATGGTCTGTTTTGAAATTGGTTGTATTGGAATATTAGTGTTGTGGTAAAAAAGGAAAAATTATCACCAATAAGGTTTGGGACTAAATTTGTATCCTGAGTTGGATATTTATCGACCTTGAATAAAATAGCTACTCTAAATCAATAAAACAAAAGCTAGAGAGAATTTGTTTTGGTGATTGGTTGTGCCTAGTGATTATGAGTCTAAATTGGTATCTTAAGTTGGAAATTTGAATAACCTCGGAATGAAAAACATCTTAAAATAACCTAATACCCTAAAAAAGTCAAACAAAAATTTCGAGAAACTATTGCATGCCAACGTAAGCAGATTTCTGAATAGAAATACAGTATTAATGCTAAGTTAAAATTACATTGCATTAATTTAGTTTTATTTATATAAATTATACTAACGAAAACCACTGTATAGAACTACAACCCTTTAGGCAAAACCATTACTATAAATTTTCTGCAAACCCCTCTATTAAAAAAATTTGCTAAATACTTAATTACGTGGGTGTTTATTTATTAGAATACAATTTAAAATCAATTTCGAAGCAGCCCATTATCTACATCATGCACATGACAATGTAGTTCAAATGTTGAAAATTTGTATAAAATATTTTTACAAGTGAATGGGACTTGTGCGGTATGAGTGAGTTGTCTCTTTTATTCTGTCTGTAGTCTCTGTATGTGGTTATCGATATAATTTGAATTATATGAATGCAAGTCGTTGGATGAACATCTCTGTTAAATTTAGTAATTTCATAGTATTTTACAAAAGATGTTATAATATGTGTGATCCGGTCTCTTCACCTTTATCGGTTAACCTTAAATCTCTGATTTGAATCCTGCTGTACCTACCAGCCCGGAGTGCTTCAGGATGATTTACAAATTGGTTGTACTCTTTAATCACTTACTTAAATTGCAATTTTTATTATGTCATGTATGTAAATAGCTATAAGCTTCCCTTTTTGACATTGAATAATTCTTGATAATTGTGATTTTGAAAAAAGTTGTACCAGCCTTATTGTTTATAACTTTGATGAGTTCAATACTCTTTTGAAACATTCTAAATCGTAAATAAAAAAGTCAAATAATAGTTTTTTTTTTTTTTTTATTTAAGAAGCTGTTTTCAGATTTACTTTTAATTCATTCTAAGAACAACTCTTTAAAAATTTTCCGAACCGTATAAATAAAAATAAATAAGTTAGACATGTATTAAGCAATGGACTTAAAGTGTGTTACGTAGTCATAAAAACACTTGAGTTGTGTACCTGATAGAAATATAATTCGCTATTTATTGTGTTACATACTTTATTGAATTTATAGCCAATGCTGGTTGTGTTAAGAGTGACTGAATCTGTGGTTGACTATTGGTCGTATAGATTCGTTATGTTAATTGTACATCTACTGTAAATATTTAGAAATCGGATACTTCATTAGTTATTCTTGATGTTATTTTATATGTTTGAGTCTACAAATATTTTATTAAATGAGCAATATCAAATTAAAATCGGTTCTACCTGTACGTCTTGTGTCATAAAACAACGAAAACTAAAAGAAATCTAAGTATATGGATTATTATTGTTATTACTATTTATAATTTTCGTTAGATCAAAATTAGTTTGACACCATCAGTATTTGGCCTTTAACCCTCTAAACATACAAGAATATACAGACAAATAGGATGCTATATTCTAAATTACTGTTGTCGCTTAGGAATTTAATCTGTGTGTAGAAACTGGGAAAGCTTCAAACTACTGTTCTTAGTTTTGAAGAACTTCTTGATATTAAACCTATGTTATTTAAATTTGATATTTATTATGACACCCTATTATTGTTTCACTACCGGAAACATGATTGTTGATATCAAAGATGAAATGTATATTTGTTCTCATCCTTTAGTGATAAGCAATTTTCTTAGACAAATAAAAACGGTCTCTTTTTGACCAAGCATTGCAAAGTGTTTAATTTATTTGAGTCCCTTTCAAACAAGAGTTGGCCCCATGGTATAATTTGTGTATTTGAGAAAGGTACGTTTTTAGAAGGAAAATTCTTTTGAAGTTAATTTGTAAATGATTTATGAAACAAATTTTGCATAGAGTGTTGGGTAGAAGATTTAATGGGTTGATAGTTATGATAAGCTTCCTTCTGGTCAAGGAGGAATATTTCTACTTCTAGTTATCATACAAAGTTGTCATATAAAGTTTCTTACAAGAATTGGTTCACAAAACAACCTATTTCCTCGCCTTACTGTCAGCCTTAGACACTAACAAGACTACAAGATCGCGGCACTCATCCTACACTTATCTCAATTCATACTTTGCTATAATACCAACTTTGTATGGTCGCCATTAAAAAAAAATAAAAAATAAAATTTAAATAAAAATACAATTACGACAAATGAACAAAATACAAAATTAAGGAATATTTTTTTTATTTAATTGGTTATATGTATAGCAAATTAATTCTTCTCATACAAAATTCTATAAGTAAAAATAAATGTTTTTTTTGCCCAAAAATTACGTAGTTGTTAATTTATGATAATAATTAATTAACATTATTTAATGGAGAGACATATCGTAAGTTGGCAATGACCTTAGTTTTGTCTTATTTACTCCCTCGTTGCCTCAACAATAAATCTTAGCCACAAAACCATCCAAACCTCAGTCTTTACGTTTGGTGAACACATTACAGATTTTTAGTTGTGACGTACAACAAATTTTAGAAAAAAATCTAACGTGCAATAAGTGTGGAAAGTGAGCCTTTTTTGGATCAATGAAGTTGACGAACGAGGGTTTTGTTGAGTGTGATCATTACCATAAATAAATAAACAACATAATATAAACATAAACAACTTTTGTCCACAGGTGTCATACAAAGTGTAAGTCCACATAATTAGGCTGCTAAACATCTGATATGCCAATATAATGCCCACCACAATTCTCACTCTGAATGACAACTAAAAAAGCCCAGAGCTTAGAATTGCGTAAAGATAGTGTTAACGACACGAAGGAGGACATTTAAGGAACGACCCTTGGCGAGTGCCATAAAAACTCGTACGAGTGTCGTTAACACTATTTACGTGAAACCAATAAAAGGTTACAGTACCTGCAGACTGCCTTGTGGGTTTTGTTAATCCAGTAGGATTACGTACGTTTCGGCAAGTGTATTGCCATCATCAGATCCAGAACTTGAAGGTTAAAATCTGGATTTTTCGAAGTTCTGGATCTGATGATGGCAATATATTTGCCGAAACGTACGTAATCCTACTGGATTAACAAAACCCACAAGGCAGTCTGCAGGTACTGTAACTTTTTATTGATTAGCTAACGTGGTTTAGAAAAACAACTACATTATGAAGTATTTACGTGAGTGGCGTACACTACTTTTTTATACCACAGTGTTTTAATTACTAAAATCACTACTCATAACTTCTAAAGCTGGGTTTTCCTAGGCGCGGAATCGGAGAGCGGAAAAGAGATTAACATGGTGTTCCGCTCCGCTTCTAGGAAAACAGTAACATAAAATTACCTAAGACAAGTAGAGCCCGCTCCCCGCGTTCCTCTCTCCGCTCTCCACTTTCGCGCCTAGCAAAACCCGGCTTAAGAGAGGCTATGTTTTCGTTTATAACCTCTCATTGCCACTGTCAGTGATGCAACGAAACATTGTGCCAAACACTAATTGCACCACTCAACAATTAAATTCGCCTGAACAGCTGATTAGTTGAAGTTCGAATCTCTCAATCTTTGGTCCGTTACCCATGTTGTTATGATTAAAACTACGCTGTTATGAAAGTAAACAATGGTTGTAGGTAAATATATTGTTTAACATATAGCACAGTTGTATACATAATAACATAATTTCTGTGATTGGCATAACACGGTAATTAAAAAATTGCCCACTAAATCCATAATTTCCATAATTACGTCAGCACTTAGCTGCGCCTCATCAGTGAAGACAGCAACCAAAGGTAAACACTCAACCCTCCTTCTACAGCCGCTGTATTATTCATGAAGTTTAGCAGGTCCTCTAATCGCGGTTCAGATAACACAACCACTCAGATAGGATTTGCTTTGCTTGCTTATCAAGTATGTCTAACGGGTTTTGGGTATATATTCGTAAGATCGACATTAAATATATAAGATATAGTTGGCTTAGGTAAGTAATAGAAATTAATGGTAACAAATAAAATCTATATGCTTACACTAAAGGTTTTTTTATGTAGCATTCCTTTTTCAAGCCGTTCTAAAAAAACTAATAATTCACTATTGAGGTTTCGTTTTAAGGGTTATATTATCTAGCCAAAGGTTTAAGGGTTTTATTAAAAGGTCGTATTATTATCTAGCCAAGTGACGAAGGGTAGCTTTAAAGTTGATTCCTTCTAGGGGTTTGCCCCCTAGCGTTTAATTTATTTCTCGAGTTCATTTTCAAAGATCCAGTGTTGCTGACCATCTTTCTTCATCGTTATAGTTCAAAATGTGAATTATAATTTAACAGCTGATCAAAGTTAAATGTTTAACGACATTCAAATGATCAACAACAGAAGAAACTGTTTATGAAAATTTATTTTAAATAGACAACTGTTTTAATGTGTACTCAATTTGGGAGCACACTAAATATTGTAGTAGGTTTGGGAAGACAGAGAAAAATATTTGTCAGGTACAATAAACACTTTTACCTATGCATACGATGCAGAGGTTATATACGATGCGGGTGCTTGGTGTTGTAATGATGCTTTGCACCGCTTAGTACTTGGCTCAGTCATGGGCTGTAATAGACACTCGGAGTGGCCCATGAATATATAATAAGGTAATTTAATCTCTTTTGATGTTGTCCTCAAGTGTACTCTAGCTGCTAACCTTGGACTTTGTTGTAATGAGTCAAACATGTTAACTGCCCAAGGCTTTGTGAATAGTTAGATCGGTTCGTTTGACTAGCGATGGAGTTCTGATGAAAGTTTGTGATCCATATAATGCCAGAGAGGCTATATAAACCATGGTAATCAATGTTTTATGTTATGTTTAAAATATTTGAAATGGTCCTACACGTATAGGTCATCGTTAAAATAGTTTCTTTATTTATAAATACAGGGTGATTGATATAAGTGTGCCACCCGTTTTATTCGAAAACTATAAGAGATATCAAAAAAAGTTAAAAGGTAAGTGCCTTGGATTTTTTATTAAAAAAATTATAGTCGAGTCAAAAAAATTATTTTAGCCGCCATTTTTCCAATATGGCCGCCAACTTTGATTTTTCTTACGGAACACCCTGTATTTTATGATGTATTCTGGTAGAAAAAGTAATTTTAAGACGATTTTATTCTTGTGATTTTTTTCATAAACCTAACCGTTTCAAAGATAATAATGGTTTAAGTTGTGCAATTTTGAATGGTTTTCGAGCAAAACAGGTGGCATGCTTGCTTAGGCCTTTATCGAATCTCTTTCTCATGCAGAAATTTCAAAACTTTAACCATTATTATCTTCAAAACGGTTAGGTTTATGAAAAAAATCACAAGAATAAAATCGTCTTAAAATTACTTTTTCTACCAGAATACATCATAAAATACAGGATGTTCCGTAAGAAAAATCAAAGTTGGCGGCCATATTGGAAAAATGGTGGCTAAAATAATTTTTTTGTTTTTTTAAATAAAAAATCCAAGGCACTTACCATTTAACTTTTTTTGATATCTCTTATAGTTTTCGAATAAAACGGCTGGCACACTTATATCAATCACCCTGTATAAGATTCCACTTCAGACGTTGGATTATATCATTTCTTCCAACAAAAATCCATACAGAAATCACCAACTATTTATACAGAACGTAAAATACTTATGTAATAACAATTCGTTTGTTTGTTAGATGTTGGAAATTTCTTATGTTACTAAATTACAAAATACATATTTAGCAAAGCAAAGTAGAGAAGTGAATCTCTTTATATGTGATATAAGAATTTATATAGTAGTACTTATATTTCTCAATGTAATGAACCTAATCTTACCTGTGTCATTTCCGAATTCAGGTTCATTTGTATGGATTCAGAATCCATTTGAAATCTAACCACACAGAACCTAAGTAAACCAACCTAACCTAACTTTAATAGTTGTGGTCCCCTAAATGATAGAACCTGTATCTACTATTCATTTAAATATAGCAAGGAATTCGAAATTAAATTGTTTTTATTTTTTATTTTATGTCTTTGTCCTTATTCAATATATATTTTTACACAATTAAATAAGTATCCATGATTTATAAAATAATATAATTTGGATTTTTACTGAGATAGTAAATGCTACAAGCATATTCATGCTATATTGATGTATTGGAGATCTAACATCAACGACGAATTTTATTGAAAATTCATTACAAAAATTCGGTGTAGTATCCTAGGTGCTAAAAGACAATTAAATAGAATCAGTTTAAAAGCTTAATGTAATTATTTTTAATGGATATGGTCACCCGCAAATTTGCCGAACCTAATCCTATAACAAATCTCTCTGCCAGTGTTAACTTTGAATATTTAATTTGTGCTGTTGCAGCTGAATTTAAAAGCGTCGATTGGGGATAATAGCGTAACAGTTATCCAATTTATTGCTGCTGTTTAAATAAAAAAAAAAATTATAAACTCATGCATTTAAGATTCGATATAAGTGTAAGAGAATGAATAGTTAATACATAAGTATAAAACGTACACAACTAAGAACTAATGGTGTATGGAAAAAAATAAAAATAATTCTAAAATATCACCTTACAAAAATCTTTTATTTTAATTTTTTCCATTTGACATCACGTAACTTAAATTAAACAAACCTTAGTTTATTTAAGTCGGATCCTTGAGTAAAATATCTCAGAGGGAATAAATTGATTCTTTGCAGGAATTAAGACAAGGATAAAAATACTAATAATAAAAACTAAGGTGTCATAGCACTTAGAGCAACCAGTCATATTATTTT